TAGGAGAAGGGACTGCAGCAGAGACCTCCACAAGCTCCTCTGTATGGGATGAGCTCGTGTCCATGTGCTCAGGAGATCACACAGGAGGAGGAATCTCCACAGGGATCGAGCACCTGTGGCTCAGACCTGGCCAGGCTGTGTGTGCTGACTGCTCTCTGATGGCTTCTGTCCTCTCTGCACCAGGGAACCTTCTGTGCCCAACCTGCCCCATGCACAGCAAGAATTCCAAGTGCATAGCAGCTGCTTAAAGGCCATTTACAAGGGCCCATCTCCCTGCCCTTGGCAAATCCAAGGCATGGCTGGTATCATGGCCTGGCACCCAGACACCTCCTTCCCTTGGGGCACATAGAAACACAGAACCATGGGTTGAAAGGGACCTTAAAGCTCATCTCATCACACCACGTGCCATGGTCAGGGACTTCTCCCGATTTACAAGGAAGATCCATCCAACCTGGCCTAGAACATTTCCAGGGACGGAGCAGCCATAGCTTCTCTGGGCAACTTGTGCCAGTGCAGTGCCTCACTCAATCTAAACTGGGAACAGGGAATCAGCCTTTGTTGAGTGACAGCAGTGGGGTCTGAGCACTCCCACGGGGTCAAAGCAAAACAGGTCTGAAACTCACTCCCATCCCACCCTGCAGCAGCTGCTCTCAGATTCTAAGTACCTCAGAGCTGTTAACAGCCAATCTTGTTCCACTGTACAATTAATATGCTATAATTATAACAATAATTATGCTGCCCCAGCTTGTTTTTGCTCCAGGCAGGAAAGCAGGCTCCTTTGCCAGGTGCCCTCTCAGTTGCACTGCAGAGTGACGCTGCCTGCAGAGCTCGCTGGTGCCAAACAATCCATTGGAAAGCAGCAGTGCTGGAGCTGGAGCAGGAGCCTGTCTGCTCCCATCACACTGACAGAGACACACCACATATCTGCTCTGCCACCTCTTCTCTCAGGCTTGGGAGGCTCAGGAAATTGAAATCTGGTTCTGCAAAGATGGATGGTGCTGTCAGTCCCAGCCTCAGCTGGCAGCTAGAGGGAAGGGGAGTCTCCTCCCAGATCGCAGGGCAAGGGACTGGGAACATACTCCTTTAACCAGAAAGGCTTTACATTCTGCTGCAGGTAGAGCAGAGCCCACAGGTACCTGGGCCAGGGTTTGTACCTGTGTCAGTGCAAACTCATGGGGAGGAGAGGCCAGAGCAGGTGACAGATGACAACTGCAGTATGTGCCTTGCCATGAAATATCAGCTGTTCTGTTTCTCCTGGAGTTACTTCTCCTTTTTACATGTGAACTTTGTCCTACTGAGCAATGCCTCCCACAACTCTATGTTCCTCCAGGCATGGTCTTCAGAGACTTGTTTCCATGTTCTTGCAGCAAAGTCTCAGCCCCACACTAAGAGAACACTTCCCAGGCTGGACCAGACACATAAAACAGCCATTTCCAGACCATTTATGCTGCAGTAACTTTCACTTGCTGAAAACAGGGGGAAAATAAAAGTCTCTGCCTGACAGAGCTGGGATGTAGGGGAGATGTTACAGAAGAGACAACAAAGATGTGCTCTCTGTCAGAGTCAGTGGCTCTGGAGCAAAGAGGAGACAGCAGAGCCCACAGCAGGAGCTTGGCTCAATGGGGAGGGAAGAGATGGGGCAGGAAAAGCACTTTGGCTTCATCTGCACAGGTCTAGTGAGCACACAACTAGCTCTAATTCATCTTGGAGAAGCCCATGGAATTTACGTTCCTGAAGGTCATCGGGTTGGCAGCCCTATACTGAGCAGACAGGGACACATGGCATGGACAGGGAGAGGCAGGGACATATGGCATCACCAGGGAGAGGCAGAAACCTCCATGGCAAGGGCAGGGAGGTGCAGGGACCCCAAGGCATGGGAAGGGAGGTGCAGGGACCTCATGGAATGGGAAGAGAGGTGCAGGGACCCCCATGGCATGGGAAGGGAGGTGCAGGGACCCCATGGAATGGGAAGGAAGGTGCAGGGACCTCATAGCATGGGAAGGGAGGTGAAGGAACCCCACCTGCAGGACGATGGGCAGCTGCTCTGGGGGGTTGCGGTTCTCCACGCCCATGGTCAGCCACACCTGGAACGCTGTCAGCTGCTCCGCGAAGAAGGGGCTGTGCTGTCGGAGCAAAAACAGTAGTGCACATTGGGGTTAAAACACAAGGAGTGAAGCAAATAGTTTTGGCACCTATGGACTCACAGTTCATTGTTTCCAAAAGCTGTTGTTGGTAACTGACAGGTTTGTTTGGGGTTTTAAATGTACACGAATTCTCCAAAGACTGAGCAGATACAAATCCGCTTAAATACGTTGACGTTCCCTAATGTGTTTGGAAAGAAGGAGGAGGCAAGAGTAGAGAAACAGGAAGAGACAACACAAAAGGCCTTATGGAGACGTGGCTGATGTCTCCCCAGGAGCAGCAGATGGAGCAGCACTGGATTTATCTGCTCTGCAGTTTCACTCCCGCAGCAGCGCACAGAGCTGCCTCTGCCCAGTCCTCAGGGACACAATCCAGCAGCAATGAAAATACATTCCTGGTGCCATCTATCACCCTGAGTACGTGGCACAGGCTCAGGATGAGAATGTACTGACCAAGGCACACAGCAGCTTCCAGGTAGAAATCCACAGGGAACAAGAAATCAAGGGGAAAGGAGGGAGGGAAGAGGAGGAGGGAGAGAAAACCAAGTCAGGTGAAGAGGTTGTCAGTGAATGTATCCAGGTCAGACTGGACTCCCAACCCCCAGCAGCAAACAGAGGGCAGCAGGTAACCCTGTGCCTCCCCTTGACACCCCTCCCTGCTCTGCCAGGCAGTTTTGAACAGGCTGACACTGACCCAACACCCTTCCCTGCCACGCTGGCCAGCACCAGCTCTGCTGAGCCACAGCACTTCTGCCAGGCATAAATGAAGAGGTTTGAGGGCAAAGTGCTGATCAGAGCATGGGGAACAGATCAGAGATGTACACCTATGTGTGCTCCAGCTCCATCTGCCACAGGCAGGGCTGAGCCCTGCACTCCCTCCCCAGCCACAACTAAGACTCCTACAGCTCTGGGTGTCTCCTGGGAGTCATTCCCAGGTGAGTGTCTGTCCCTCTCTGACCACAGCCAGGACTCCTACGGCTCTGGGTGTCTCCTGGGAGTCGTTCCCAGGTGAGTGTCTGTCCCTCTCTGCAGAGCAGGCACAGAGCCCGTGGTGTTATCATGCTGGATTTGAAAGGGAAGCAGAAGGAATGGCTCAGGAGAGCTCTGAGCTTTATGTCCAGTGCCCAGGTTGGTTTGGATCTCGTCCCATTCCAGCTCCCAGCCCCGACTGCACACTGATGGCTCAACCCACCCCAATTCCAGCCAAAATACACAACAAACTACATTTGTCAAGCTTGAAAACCTGCTGGTGAATTGTTCCCTCCCTCCCCTGAATCGACTGCCAGTTAAGTCTGACCACTCTCATTTGCTGATCTCCTGCCTGATCCCCAGCGAGTCTGAGCCTCCTCTCACCCCAGAACACTCAGAAACCTGCTGAATTTCAGCTCATTTGTCACAGAATGCCCAGGTGAGGACTAGCACTAATATAAAAACCCCAACTGACGTTGTTAGAGGCCTGAAATAAAAATGAGCGTAACCTAGGAGGACAAAAATCACATCTTTTATGTTTTAAACCACAGCAGATACAGTGAGGAAAGCAAAGGGTGGGAGGAAAAAGGCCTCAGGGCATCCTGAGCAACCCTAGCTTGGCAGGAGACCACAGCTCTCCTCCTGCACTCGGGGCTTTGGAGACAACCTGCAATTACAGCCAGAAAACCTTTGGAAGTTTGGTAACATAAATAAACTGCAGGAATGGTGCTGAAAATGAGAGACATCAGGGTGGAACAGGCACCTGAGGCTGGGCAGGAATTACTGTTTAAAGGTTTCACTTCATGGAATATCAAGAAAATCAAGAAAAATCCACTGTGAATACAGGAATGTCAAAGGAATATCAAGAAAAATCCACTGTGAATACAGGAACTTAAGTCAAATATAATATTAAAACATTTACTTTTCTGCTCTCTGAGACTAAATAAAGCAGAAGCCCCAGAGACTCCTATCAGTGACACTGAGCTTAGGAGGAGAACTCTCTGGACACACCTCCAACCTCTAGTTTATGTTTATTGGAAAGGAACTCTACTGAGAGATAATTTTCGCATTGAATCCTTTCCTTTCACCAATCATGATGCATGTTGGGACTTTTTGGCTACCAATACTGTGGGTCAAGTTTGAGTGCCCTGAAATGTTCAGTCAGGTCTCAGGCATCGCTGCTCCCAGCAGGAGTTTCCTCTCCAGTCCCAGGGTGGGCTGGATCACACAGCAGTGAAGACCTCAAACTTGATTTTCTGTCTGTTCCTCTAAGGGAAAATCACAGAACCATGGAATGATTTGGGTTGGAAGGACCTTAAAGCTCATCCAGTCCCACCCCTGCCATGGCAGGGACACATTCCACTAGCCCAGGTTGCTGCAAGCCTCATCCAGCCTGGCCTGGAACACTCCCAGGGATGGAGCAGCCACAGCTGCTCTGGACAACCTGTGCCAGTGCCTGAGCATGTATAATTCCCCGAATTATAAACCTTTAAACTGCCCCAATTCAAGGCCCAACTAGCAGCAGTGACATACTGAACCAAGGTGTGGGACAATGGGTCAAAGAGGATCCACAGCATCCCAGGGTATTCCCCAACTTACCCTGAAGGCAGTGCCTTCCTCGATAATTGTAGGTAACTGGGAAAGGCAAATGTCCACAGCAAGGTCCCAGGCTTGCCTGGAGGGAAGGTGAGAGAGGGAAGAGAAGGAGTTACAAGTTATCCATAAGGAATAGCAAGGATGTGGACAAAGCAGTGTTGTCTGATTGCCTTTGAAGTGCTTGATACTCCCTTTTCTTGCAGGCAAGTAGAACATAGAGAAACTATTCAGAAATGCAGTGAGAAGGTCTAGTCCAGCACTGGATCCAGTTCCAGAGGTCCACAGAAATCTGTGCAGTGGAGAAAGAGTGAACTAAAGCCTAGTAGTTACACACTTGTGCTCAGCCACAAATGGGTGACACTTTCCTTTTAAACTAAAACATGAACTTAATGGTGGGTTAGCTCCAACCACCTCCACCTGCATCCCAGCCCTGCCTTGCTCTGCATTCCAGTCACATCAGGGCAGCTTGGGAAGCTGCATCCCTGCTGACAAACCCTCCAGCTCACAGCTCATGGATACACCCACACCTCAACCCTCGTGCTCATTCTCCAGCTCCTCAGCACAGACACTGTCCCTGCACTGCTGAGAAGGGAACTCAACCCTGTTAATCCCACTCTGAGCTGGGTTTGTGTTGCAGCCTTGTGTGCAAGGATCAGCTCTGCGTGACTCACCCCAAGGATGGAGGGATGGACATCACACTGAAAAAAGAGAAAATACCTGAATATTTCAGTTTTTACATACATCTACTATTAGTGGCTGAAGTCTAGAACCACAGAGACATGGAATGGTTTGGGTTGGAAGGACTTTACAGCCCACACATTTTCACCCCCTGCCATGGGCAGGGACACCTTCCACTAGCCCAGGTTGCTCCAAGTCCCATCCGGCCCAGCCTGGAACACCTCCAGGGATGGAGCACCCACAGCTTCTCTGGGCAATTGTGACTTAAAATATTTTAGCGTTACAGCTACAACAGTGTGTAAGTTACATGTGATGGCGAAGGAACCTGTTGTGGCTGATTCAGTGCCAAGGAAACATGGCAAGAGGCTTTTCCACCATGCTCACAAACTGAAATAAATGCATTGGTCTCCAAAGCTCCTAAACACCTCTAAAAGCGTGAAACAGCTACTTTTCAGCCCAGTAATTACCCATCTCTATCCACGGACATTCTGTGCACTCTTTAGTTAACAGATGGATTTCTGCACTCTGAAAGACTGAGTTAAACCCCCACCCACAGGGTTTCTCCCACAGAAGAACCTGGTTTCCTCTGCAGACACATCTGCCCTTGCATGGCTTGTGGCATCCTGTGTTAAGTCAATAGCCAAAGTCATCACTCTCCTCCCCAGAACATCTGCAGACAGCGGCCACGGGTGAAAATCGATGAGTGCATTTCAGTTACTGCTCTAGTAACTCCTTCAATCACTGCTGTGAGGCAAACCAACCTTCCCTCAGACCCACTGCCGAGCAGAACTATCCCACCAGCCCAGCCAGGAGCTGCTCTCACCCAGCACCAATCTCTGTGATTAGTGGAAAAACAAACTTTGAGGCTCTTGCTATTCTCTCCTAGGCTCAGGGACTGCAGCTTGGTTTGGCTGCCCCAGACCTGCTCCCTCAGCCTCCTGCGCTCACCTTCCGCTTGGCAGCGTGCTGTCAATATAATTAAGAGCTAATCAAGAGCTAATCAAAGCACAGGCAGCAAAGGCTTCCCACGTGCTCAACACAGACCTGTGCTGGAGACAAAATGTTCACACAGAGCCGAGGAGAGGTGTTTGCTCCTGGCTGAGGTAAAGGTAATTAGTGCAGATATAAAGATAACTATTCCTGACTCTCAGGTTTCTTGAAGCAGTGGGCAAACCCACCTCAAAAAATACTCTGCAGCACTAGAAATATGCCAATCCACAAGGCCTTTGAGATAGGTTTTACTACGCAGGAGGAAAATGGTTTAGACAACTGGTCTGATTGAGGCTGCCTGTAAAAGGATTCTGAGTGGGTCATTACACAGTGCTAAGATGTTGAGCTCCTCACAGCAGCTGTGGGTAAGCAGCACTAATACTGCTACAGAAATGTCCAAAGCAGCCCTGCAAGGTCAGATCTCAGAGGTTTTAAGTGTTATCAGAAAGAACAAACAAAAAATTTGAAAAGAGATTTTAGCAGATTAAAACAAAATCTCTTTCTTTACGCTTCTAAAAAGAGGCTGCGAAAAACCAGCGGAGCCACACGGCCAGTGATGCTCAGACCCTTCAAACCCTGGCCAGCATCACTCAGACCTTTCAAATCTTTACCAACGTTGGCCAAAGTCACTCAAACCTACTCAATCTTCCAAAAGTGAAACCATCAACATGAAATCTTCATGTTACTGCTTACCACAGCCCAGAGCTGTTGATTGATGTCAAGTGTGGAAGAGACTCAAGTCAATAATGCAAATGGTTCTCCAGCCCTTCCAAACTAGCCCCAAAAATGATACTCCAGCCCCTCCAAATCACCCAGCATGCCACTTCTGCTCTCTCTGTGGGCAACACAAATCCTCTTACCCAGCAAGACACCAGCAAACAGCTTTGCCTGAAGTAAAACTTCTCTGTTTCCACCCACTGGAACAGCTACTCCTGCATTACCAGACTTCAGGCTACACATGAGTTGCACACAGGTCACTCACTGCACTGGCTAAACAGGCACTAAACAGGTGTTACAATAATTAAAAGATTCAAACCAAGCCATAGATGAATGGGGAAGGACTAAAGCACAGAGGGTGTGGAAAGAAAGAGAAGGGAAATACTCGTTATGGCCCTGGTGACAGTAAGGGCTGTGGGGGGGAGGAGGAGCAGTGATTGATGCCTTTAATACACCAAAGGCAACTGGCAAGGTGGGCAAATGGGAGCTGTGCTGCCTGAACTCCTGTCAAAGCTCAGCACACAAACAAGAGATGAATTAAGGAGCAGCAGGGACCCAGGATGGGTTGGGGTTGCATCCCACAGGTGATTTATGCAAGCCAAGCCAGAGATGGCTGCGTCCCCTGCAGAGATTGCTGTCTGGGAAGGGCTCTGAGAGATTTGTGTTCACTACAGCTGGTACAAGAAGGGCTCAGTAGTCCCTCAGCATTGTCTTTCCTACCTCCTCACTGTCCTCTTCCAATATCTTCAGACCCTCCACCATAACAGGGTGACACAATCACATCCATAGGAAAATTACCAGCCAAAATGCCCTAAGTGCTTCACCCTCACTGTGTTATGCCATGAAAGAATGTGTTAATGAGGGTTTTATACTACCTGGTGCTAATCACTCTGTAGGGACAAAACATTAAACTGTCTCCTTAGCTGGAAGATTGATTCAGTTAAAAAACAAGCAAGAAAATGATGGTATTTATCCAGAACAAGCAAAGCCACATGCACAGCAACAGGGACAGGCTGGGAG